ATTCTTGAGACACTCTTGTCTTGTATTTTTTTTCCTTTTTTTCGCTTTCAAATTAATTTTCATTTCATCATGTTTTCGGAATGATAATTTCCTTTCGTAAACTTCTTTTAAATTGCTTTTTGCATACGTTAACGTATATTGACCATGATCAGCAAGCAAATCACTGATCTGATACATGATTCTGGCCATTGAACGCCGGTCAATACGATTTATTAAGCTCAACAGAAAAATAGAGCGATTTATATATTATGTATGTATGTACACATGTATGATTGTACATATGAATGTACTAAACTAATTTTAGTGTGTGTTGAAGATAATTTAAGATTTAAAATATGTTCTTTACCGGTATAAACATTTTTAAAGTGTGTAAGTGTTTGAGCCATCAATTTATTACGTAGATGTAAATGTTCACAGATAAGCGTAAATTGACTTTTTAGTCGAGTTTAGATATGAGTGACATTGAGAAAATTTGTGATTTTCTTTTATTATTTGGCTATTTGAGCAAAATGTTTGTTATTCTGTAAAGAAAATTAAAAAAATTTATTAATCTTTATTATTTAATTTTGCTTTTCTTCATTGTAAAGAGTAGAATATATAAAAAAGTATATAACCCAATTTGTTGGATCGGTATATTGATTATACATAATAACTTTTTCGAAAGTGTACAATTAAATAAATATGTTCTGTCAGTTTTCGGTAATTATGCTCAATCAATTTTGAGTTTATAGACAACTGTGCAAAATTTAAAAAATTAAATCCCTGAAACGCAGAATTTAAAGCACGGAATTGAACAGCTTGCAAAATTTTGGAGAGATTAATTTTTCGGAAAACTTCGTAATTTTTTTGTACATCAGCAGTTACAGGTTTCCGCTTTATTCATAATTAGAATATAAATAATTTTAAATGTGTAAATGCAACTATTTATGCAATCATTCACTATTTCTCGAATATTTAATCATAAAATGAATACAATCTTAACCCGTTCACAATGAAAATATTTAGGAATGCGATAATGAGAACACCAAATTTATTGAAACTTGTAATAATTTAGTTTTTAATCTTTTTTAATTTGGTTTTCACCAGCATTTTTATTTCGTTCGATTTGTTTTCTCTCATAATATAAATAGATTTTAACAAATAATTAAAACTCATTATCTAAATTTAAAAAAAATCGCTGTTTTTTTTATTTTGATTACTTTTAAATTGTAATAAAAAAAAATAGTAAACATTGATAAGAAATTTGTCACATGAGCTCTTTAATTTTAAACTGGAGTGTCATGAATGTAGTAATAAATGTACATGCCTACATTCATTTGTAAAAAGTTCGGTTTTGAATTTAATGCGGCGCTATATAGAATCATAAAAATGATGTCACTCTTTATACGTTAATAATAACGATTACCATGTGAAAAAAAAGAAATAAAACTGAACAAAAATTCAATTATGCAATTATCATCGTTCACCTTCACTGAATTAGGAGCTAGAGTTGTGTGTTATTATAATTTATGATAGTTTCAATGTCAATTTAATTAATATCATAAGTAAGTGAGGCTATCACTATAAAATTTTTAATTTCAAATTACCTTTATTTTTTTGAGTTTTGTTCGGAAATGCAATGAGTGAGTAAAAATGTTTTTTTTTTTTTGGTAAATAATTGATTGAGCAACCACTTTTAATCAGTTGATGTTTTGTAATTAAAATTTTGATTAGTTGTTTTCAATGTTAGTAAAAAATTAAAAGTTGGCAGTTGGTTAATAAAACACTTAAGATCGAAATTGAAAATAAAAGGTGAAACAGACTTTTAAAATAAGTCAATAGAATGTAGTGTTTAATTGCACTTCTGGCAACTGTTATTGCTTTAGTTATTATCTTATAGTTACCTTGCGATATACATATTTTTAAATATGGTATACTGATCCTGTTAGAAGAATATTTAAAAATTCATGAGAAGCTTTATACACAAGACTCCTATGACGTATTGTAAGAGCAGGTTGTCAAACATTTAATCATTATTTCTACATCATATCACTCCGACTGTTTAAGTACGCTCATGTAGAATGTAGACGTAATTTTTGGTATTTTTCTTTTTATAGCTTTCAGATTTGATGATCTTAAATTTATCACTTTTTATATTTAATTTAAATTAATTATTTAATAATCAATTCATATATATGTATAATTTTAAAACATATGTTGTAGGTATTTAGAAAAGCAAACAAACATGTTATTTAAAATAGAATCTGCTGTAAAACGCGACAATATTTATAAAAATATTTGTTTCATTATTTAAAAATTTTGATAAGATAATTAGAATATTAAACAGAAACAAAGCACATTAAGTTAGAGAAATTAAACTTTATCTTTTAAATATTTCATTTGGAATTTTTTGTTTAAATATCAAGAAAAGAACGTTAAATAGATAATTGCATAGGTATGTGTTAAATTCAAACCTTGATGGTATTTCATTAAAATAAACAAAATGAAATGAGAGTCTTGTAAAGATAACGGTTGACAAAAAGCTTAAAAAGTCAAATTGTTAAAATGTATTTGTTTGTAAGCTTGTATAATCAATTAGACCATTTAAGATTCTCCCAAGAAAAAGCAAAATAAAAAGAAATTCTAGAGTTTTCGCTACATCAAAAATATTTTACACTTATACTATTTCAAACAAATTACTGGATGCCGTGGATATTTCTTGGGTATAGTTTCTTTATCTTTAGGCAATGATATGAGCGGTTTTTCAAATTTTCCCAAAATTGTTGGAATAAGGTTGAATTTGTGCGAAAATAAATCGAATTTTTAAAATCGAATTCTAGAAATTTACACTTAAATCTTAAATTCAAGTATTACTGATAATTTTTAAGAAAATACTTTTAATACAAAATTGAACATGTAGAATATTCTTATACTCCTACAATATTTTATTGAAAAACTAATTCACATTTTAAAAACAAATTAAATCGCAATAAAATTCGTTATTGCCAATGAAAACTATTCAATTTAAAATACCTATGTGTGCCTTGAATTGACTCTTTAAAAAATTAGAAAAATTTTTATTAACTAACGTATAGAATTTTTTAATTTTTTATATTAATTTTTCCGCAATTTTCAATTATCAATAATTATGGTTTTTAAATAAGGAAATTTTTTATTTTACATTTATAAAAGTCTAGATCATCTTCCTACTCTTAAATTAATCAGTTAAGAAAATGGTTTTGTTTTGTCCAAATTAGTTATGCTAGTTATTTGGATTTCGAATATAATTCGAACACATATTGAAAAGTCTTACAATGAAATGATGACCATTTATGGTTACAAAACTTACTGCATCCCACTATAATGCCCATCGAAACTTCTAAACCGATACAAAATACATATGTCGGTGTGCTTTTACAAAAACAATGAAATAAAATAAAAGAACAAAAAAGAAAATATAATAAGCAGCCCCAAGGAAACAACAATTCATGTTTTAGAGAAAAAAAAAATCTTAACTCCCCTTAATTTTAAGTTTTTCACCTTCTTTTTGACAATAATGGAACACAACATTCAAAATCCTAAAAGCTAAAAAGAAAAAATAAAATTTTAGTTTAATAAGTAACTAATTGTCAATAAAAAAAAATTAGCAACCACATACTAATTTTAAACAAATATATTATTTCGTAATTGAAAATCACAAAAAAAAAATAAAAAACTGTAAAATAAAATTAAAAGGTTGAACAAAAAATGAACACTGCTGACATTCAAAATCATAAAAAAATTCGACATACTTTTAGAGTGGAGAAAAATAATTTCGTATTTTATTCAACAAAAAACACAGTCACACGTTTAATTACCATTAAAAGTAACCACCTACAACTGCGCGATTTCACATTCGATCCATGATCACACAAAACATATCCATACATAGTTCGATTAGAGTGACTGCTCAATTTTATTGTATAGAAAATTTTTTAAATGCGTACACACTTGCATGTTCCTACATACTATCTATGTATGTACATAAATATGTAAGTATATTTTGTGTTTGATAAAACAAAACTAAAACAAATGAAATTAATTCATGAAAATTTTTATTAACAAAAAAAAAAATACAAACAAAATAATGAAAAGAACAAAAACTAAGATCACATACAAAATAATTGCTGTTTTCGAAAGAGAATTTTAACGCTTCTACAATTCTTTTCAATTATTTGTTTTTGTGTTTTCTTGCTAAATAATCAAACCAAAAATACACAGGCACTAACTGAATACACAAAATACTTAATTATGGCTCAAGAAAATTTAAAACGAAATCTTATGAAAAACGACGACCTTCAAGTTTTAATTCATAAAAAACAAATTTTAATTTGTTCATTAAAAAAATTTAATTTTGACTTTCCTAAATGAAATACCTGTCTATTGTTAAGGAACTTTCTTTCTTTAATTTTTTATAGTTCCTTCTTATGTATTTAAAATCAGTAAAAGACTAAAAAAATCCGAGGAATTTTTTTTCATGACACACAAATCACGTTTCAAGTTCCAACAAACTTGTTTCAAGTTTTCGAACATATGTTGTAGAGCTCTTCAAAATGTTTGAATAGTTTAATTCTCATTATGTATAAAATACCGATGATTTTCGTTCAGTGAACATAAGGATCTGTAGTAAGATCTGAAGATATGAAAAGTAGGCAGAAAAACGGATATGATTAAATGGAATTAGAATTCAATTATGAGCAAGAATTAATTGCTTACTTTATGGAATTGGAAATGCTTGCTACTTCGTGTTAGACATGTCAAGTAAAAATTCTAAATAAAATTTAATAATATTTTAATTACACAAGTTTGAGTCGACAAAATCAAAGAACTAAATATTTTCCTCAAAATTTCGCGATATAAACACTTTAAGCGTGAAAATTAAATCTAATAGTAACTTTTCAACAATTAAACCTAAAAAGAAAAAATTAAAGATCAAATTAAATTATGTTAGATAAATTGAAAAAAATACTGCACTTACTTACCCACTTTCTCCTACATGTTATATTTTTATCATTTTTAGAAAGATTTCACGTCAGAGCGTTCAAATATTTCCTTTTCCAAAAGTAGTAACTTTCAAAAATTATAGACGAATATTAAAATAAATTCTATTTTAATAGAATTTATGGTCGTGTGTCTCGAAATTTTTCTATTTAATAATATTACGCTATTGGAAGATTCAGCCGATTATTTGAGAAAACATCCGAAAGTCGAATTGAAGAAATTATTAATGTTTTTGGAAAAATGAATGAAGCATTCATTCTGTTAAATAAACACTTGATTTAAAATAAATTAAATAATATTACCTAATGCATAGGTATCTATTCTTTTTACAAATCTGGTAACACTGTGAAATAAAAATAAATTAAAATTATTCCACTATTTTTATGTTTTGTGAGCAAACACCGTAAAAAAATTTCTAAATTTAAAATTTCGAAAAAACAAAAATACACAAACACTCAACACAATAGGTATCGGATGCATTTTTTTCAGTTGTCAAATAACTGCAATCATTTTTATTACTGTAATTTTCTTACTAATGTTTTCTCAGTAATTTCTTCGTAGTCATTTGATTCAGTGACGTAATTTTTTTTCTTTATAATTAATTGTACTTCTATTTTTATTGTACTTGATTCAGCAGACACTCACTTCATTCTCATACTTGAGTATCTTTATTTAGCTTTTAAATTGAGTTTTTTTTGTTGATTGCTCATAGCATGAGACAAATTAATTTTTATACGTACATGCAGACGTACATACATCCATATATATATATGTGAGTGTCCATAAAAGTTCAAATATATTTTGTATTTATATTTGCGTTGCATTCTTGATCACCAAATGTTTACTATATGAGCATTACTTAATTTTCGAACGAGTATAAAATTATGATGTCTTTTTGATGACTTTAGAGAAAAAAACAAATTTTATTTCATTGTCACTATAATTAAATTAAATTTTTAATAAAAAAAGAGGGGAAAATTGTAAAAAAAAGAAATCTCAGAATTGTTATACATTGAGTTATTAATTTTATTTGGCAAAATAAAAAATAAAAGAAACAGAAATAACAACAAAGAAAAGAAACAAACTTCAATTGGTTCTCATTTAATAATTTGTAGACGAATAAGAGCTGTTAAACATAACCTGCAAGTTTATATTTGACCCCTAAGTATACAAATAATGTTCAATTTTAAAATTAATTTTGAGTAATATTTTTTTGTTTTTGTACATTAAATGCTTTTAGAGTTTCAATTTTAAATTACTGAGCAAGAATTATTTTTTTTTTCAATGTCAAACAACTTTGATTTCTAAGAAAAATTATATTATAAAATTGGTAATATTTAATATTGTGAACTGACGTAATGTGTGTATTTGAGACATGATTCAAAAACTCATTTCGGATTGTAATAAAAAATTGTATGAATTAAAAAATCTTAATATTTTTTTTATTTTTACCTTAGTTATTGTTGCTACTATCGGACTCATTTACAGTCAAATGAGATTTGGATATTGTAAAATTGTTAATTAAAATTTCATAAAAAATTCTAAAGAAATCATTCTTGTTATACACTAAAACGAAAAACTCGCCAAAAAATATAAACATTGTAAAGGAAAATTTCGGAATTGAACAAAGTAAATCAAAATATATAACCTATGCATAGCTGCAGCTGCTGAAAGCTCAAAGGGTTGGTTGAGATTAGAAGAGGTAGGGATATACACATTTTAACCGATATTATTTTTGTTTTATATTTTAATATGTCATAATAATTAAAATTTTATATTTTAATATGTCATAATAATTAAAATTTTATATTTTAATAGTAATCAATATTAAATTCTTGACATAAATGTTTAGGTTAAGTTTTACTCCTGTAAGTGTAAGAGAATTTTCATGCAAAACAGTTATTAGTAAATTGCATTGTTAAATTTATAGCCTTAAAGAGAGCACAAAATTTCAGAGTTTTTTACACATTATTATAAATAAATAAACTCGCTTTAACACTCTAAGGCGAAAACAATTTTTTATTTTAACTTTATTCCTTCATCATTCATCAGAATAAAAAGTATTTACAAGTTTTTAACCGGTATTTTCCATAATCATATTATGAATGATCGAACTATTTTAGAAGTCAAATAAAATATCTTAATATTCTCTGAGTCTACTAAATATAATTTCAATTTGTATAAACCGCTTTTCAGTTTATTATGCGTTTAAAAAATTATTTATTTACATTATTTTTATTTATGCATCTTTTATAGCAAACTTAATTTATCCAAATGAACACGCAATTCACATTAAAATCGTCTACATTTTTATAATCTCCGTTTTCTTCATTTTGTAAATTGTAGCATTAAAAAGCAAGAACAATATTATGGCAATTAAAAATAATAAATGATAAAAATAAAAAAAAAGAAAGGGTTAAAAATAATAAAACATCAAAAATGGGCAAAAAAGAAATCTTGGATCACTAAAAACATGAAACTACTAATCATAAAAGAATAAAAATAATAAATGTAAAAAAAATTAAAGAAATTTGAAAAAAAAATGTGTACATACTTACATACATATAAATTGGTGTAAAATGGAGTGGTTTTCAATTCTAAATTTGCAACTATGACGTATTCCTTCATAATTATACACGTATTCACGAACACACACACATGCTATACCAGTTTTAATAAAAACCATAATTTAAAATTGAAATTCTTCTTTTTTTTGTGTTTTTCTTTTTGAATTGTGTACATGTTTAGATTACTAATGGTAAATCCGAACCAAATATGGTAACTTGTTCAAAAGTTTGATCTCTTTTGGATAATAACTTTTTCGTTTGTGATTCAAAATCACTTGGACTGAAAAAAAGAGAAAAATAAAAAAGTTAACTATAGTATGAGATGTATGGATTTCTTACCCATACAGAGTTGTATGGATTCTTTGAGGTGAATAATTCGATTTGACATTTAATGTCAATTTAATATTTTTGTTTAATTTTTCATCTTTAAAGAAAAAAAATATCAAATAAATTTTAATTTATTTTTAAATTACTTTTTTTTTCTGTTAAAAATATTAAAATTGTCATTGTTAACCAGGTAAATGATTAATGACACACACATAAAGTTATTAAATAGCACAATAATGAACATTTTTAGCGAAATATTATTAAAAATTCTAAATTATTATTATTTTGCTACTATTTTGGGTAACTCGTGACATACTTTTTATGGTAATTTTATGTACATACATATTATTAAAAAATAAATTAAAATAAATTTTGACATTTTAACAAAATTGTTAATAAATTTTATTTTGGCTAATTTACCATAAGTACAAATTAAATCAAATCTAAGTATCAATATTATAACAATTGAATCGTACGTATCGATATTATTAATAATGTAATGACATAATCGATACATTTAGTGAATAATCGCCCCCAAAAATGTTTTCGTACACATACATGCATACATAAATACTATTAAATTTTGATTGTTTTGTCAACTAAATACAACATTGTAAATCACTTTTAATGTTTAAAAGGAAAAAAAAATTATTTTTAATAAAATCTTAATTTTAAATTTATTATTTAAAAATTTTTATTTAATAATAATGTGTAATACTCGTATTAAATTCAATTCGAATTGCATTAATTATAATAAAAATAAAATGAAAATTCACCATATTTGGTACGTCAAAAATTAATATTGTGTCTTTTGGCATATGTGTGATTCTACCATATGACTTAAATGTTAGTAAAGATTAAGGAAAGAAATAAAATTGAATAAAATATACAATATATACGAGTATATAGGGTATATGCAATGAGATTGACTGAAAAGCGTAGGCAAATTCAAATAATATAAAGAAAATTAACAATTCTTAATCATGATTTGTAATGATTGTACACGATTACTTCATATTTTTCAGTAAATTTAAAATGAATTTTATATTGCAAAATGTTTCATGAATGATTTCTTAATGAATTCTATAAAAGGGTATTAAAAAAAAATATTCTGTCCCAAATTTAAAATATTTTCTTCACCAATATTAAATAATTTTTTGGAAAAATGTACTTTAACTTAAATAATTATACTTAAGTACGTACTCTTATATAAGTTTTGAAGTTTTGATTAAAACAATCTGCAATTACTTTTTCATCCTTAACTTCAGCATTTGATCTACCAGTTGACAAACTTAAATCTTTTCTTTTCATTTCTTCAAAATTGTATCAAGCAACATTATTGTACCACAAAATGGTAGCTGGTTCCATTATGTATGACACCTCAATTCAAAATATATAGCTATATGCATTTAATATAAAAAAAATAGTGTTTTTGTAACATTCATGCATTTCAAATGGATATTTAAAAGAAACAAAACAGCTTTTTAATTTAACTTTAAATGTTAAAACCCTGTTAACATATCGCCGGTATTATGCAAGAATCACGAAACTGCTTTTTTTGCGTTTCGAGAAAAATGCATTTGAAAGTATACACACTAATGTCAATTTTCACGTACGTGTTAAATTTACAACGTTATTTTTCCGAAAATACTAACGGTAGAGTTACGTGGGTTTTTTATAAAGATATTTTAGAAAATTCTGAGCTTTTCTGTATATATAACTCAAAACTCTCAAAAAAGCAACTTCGTGACTCTTCCATAATATTGAGGGTATGTGTAACGTTTTATCTTAGTTTTAGTTTCAGAAATTCTTAAACATAATATTGCTTACTTATATTATACAAAACAACTTTATATTAGCGATCTCCTTATTTATTATTCGCAAAATTAACAGATTTTACAGATTTTACAGATTTTAATCTTAGAAAATCATTGTGTCTCAAATATAATGCAAATAAGTGCATTCATATAAATAAATATATAAGAATAAAACAAGTAGATTAATTTAAATTAGGTGTATATGTGAAATAATACGATTCCCTCAATACCGGTGTAGATTATATAAGAGAATGTTATTCTAATTGCTTTTAATTTCTTAAAAATCATATTACACTATTATGCAATTATTTTTCAGTAAATTTACGATCGGTTTATATAGTTGACAGTTTTTTTTTTCTTATTTTTAATTCAAATCAGATATATATATCTATTAAATTACATTTGGATTAAAGTCGAGTATTTCAATTGAGTGTGAGCGTATTAATTTCATTGTACATATTCAAAATTAGTATGTATTTTAAAACTCCTAAAATCTATTTTTTATATTCTTATATAATTTTGGTTAAATAATTTTGCATAGTTTTAATTTTAGAATAAAATCGCATAATATTGTTCTACATTTTTGGTTTTATAGAAAGAAAAAATTTTAAATAAATTGAAATTGAATAAGAACAATTGATATTTTAGTATTTAATCGTTTACCTGCTAATATAAATCTTCAAAGTATTATGTAATGTAATCATTCCATTTTGACATTCATTTTATTTATTGTTTTTTAATATATAATATTGTTCCCCTCTACGTTTAGCTAAATTGAGCTAAATAGCGTCTTTTGGTATCTCATTTTTTTAGTCGCCACTCAGAATTCTCACTTTTTTCTTAAAATACTTATCTATTGTCAGTAAGCTTTAAAATTTCTTCTGATGTTACCACACTCCGCAATAGAGTGGAGTGGCTGAATGATTATTGAAATAATATGAAGTCTTATATGGAAAAATTATTTTCACTTGAAATTGATCTAATATGTGAATATGTAAACTTTGTACCTAGTATTCCATTTACCTTTTTCTCACGTAAAGAGTAAAACGATGAAACACAGAATAAAAGTTTATTTTAGAATAAAGATCTTGATATGATTTTAGAATAAAGACTTTATATTTGAAAATTTCTTACATCCCTTGGATTGGTGCAAGGCGCCCTAAAGTTTATTAGACGGATTTTCTAAAAGATATAACAATGGAATTTATTGAAAAACATTTTATTCACCGATTGTTTGACACGTGAGTCACCAAAACCTAAAAAAAAATTTGTTCTTGTCAACCTTTCGATAAAATTAATAAAACTACATCAATTTTATATTAAAATGTTTTCTAGATTTTTTTCTTATAATATGCCAATAAAATTTCAGTCAGAATCTCTTATATGGTCATATTCAATTAATTTATCATTTTAAATAATTTTTTGTTTTTTTATCATTAAAAGTGTTTTTTAATACCCACAAAAGGTAAACATCGCATCTCTTTTTTTTTCTTACACAAAAATAAAGAGCTTTTATTGGCGATCATGAACGATGATGATTAGAGAAGATTCAGAGAACATCACATGAAATTAAGTTACTTAATATTGTGAAAGCAAGTTACTAATTTACTAATATAAGCTTATTATCAACAAAAAAATATATGAAAAAAACGTGTAGGTTGTTAATAACCGTATGACGCATCATCACTTCATCAATGATCAATTTACACATACATGTAAGCACACATAATTACTTCATATACATATGTTTGTGTGCGTTACAAACCTTTTGTATTACTAAATAAAAAGAAGAGAATTTTGAGAGCACGATACAAGTTTTAAACCCCGCATTTTTTTCGTTTCATCTTGTTATTTTGTGTTTTTTTCTTTTTTTCAACTTTTTAACATACTATATAACATAGTAAGTGTTCTAGAATTAGATGAAAAAAAATAAACGTACCTCAGAAAAATTTCTCAGTAGTTTCAATTTAAATTTTTTTAATTTAACCAGTAATGATTAAAACTAAGTTATAAAAATTTATTCAAATTGTAGGCACAAGATGAATTGGTTTTATTTAAAAAAAATCCATGTTAAGTGCTCGTCAATATTGTGATTGAATTATTGTAGAGAGTGCAGTAAGTCGCTTACTCAGAAAAAATAATTAATACTGTTTCAAAGTCCATATATTGATCAAGATTGAAACCAATAACTTTGGCCCTACATATGTATATGACGCATGGCATATTTGATTAAATTCCGTATCTGTTTAAATTAATCTAATTTGATAAAATTAATCAAACAAAAAAAATATTTTTATCTTATCTTTTCGAAATTCTTGAATCAACTAGAATTTACACCTGATTGATATTTTTAAGCGTTATTTGACAAAATAACTTTTTTTTTCCTCACTTTCTCTCGAATCAATATGGCAACACTAATTCTTTAGTAAAACTAAATTTGGTATCCAAAACATTTATCCATAGATCCAAATGATCACTGGTCTATCTGCCATGCCAAGTCAACCATTATTTCTTATTGCAACATTCAACTATATAAAGTTGAAATTGTGTTGGTGTTATCTGAAACTTTTTTGTCTGTTTAGTTCTTTTTCTGTTTTTTCCGTTCTTATTTTTTCACTGGAAATTTTCTGATCTATAGAATCGGTTTGGGCTTTTCATACATATACTTATTACGAATATTGTATCGTGAGTGCGACAGAATATTGTTGTATAAAGTAGTAGAATTGTTGTGGGCTTTCAACTTGTCTAGAAATTATTAACAAAAAAAAAAATAAAAACTACAATAAAAAAAAAAAAAAAACAAAAAATATAAGCATAGCAATAACAAAATAACAAAAAAAAAATATTTTTACATAGCCAATTCGATATTTAAAAATTTTTACTTCTCTCAGTTATTAATCGAATCTCGACTGTGAAGCAATACAGATCGCTTGTTAAGAACACAGAAAATAAAATTGAAAATTACATTTATATTTTTTTTATTGCGAGAATTCTTTTTTTTTGCTAACAAAATAAAAAAAAATTAACCTTCAGAATAATAACAATTAAAATTAAATTATTTAAAAAAAATCGACGAAACATAAAATTTTAGAAACTTTAAACAACAACCACAAAAAAAAATTACTATTTATTGTAATTACAGTGGCAGCAATCAGAAGATTTTGGTCGCAAAAAGGAAATACGTCAACATTTATATAAATTACGTGAATCTAGATTGTGTGGTTATTATACAGAACCGTCAACTACAACAACAATAATACCTGATACAGCAGGTGATTTTAATAAAAAAGATCATTTTATTAATAACAATAAAAATTGTAAAACAACATCATCAAATTACATCATAATGGATGGTGTATCACTAGCTGATCAAAGCTATCAAAGCTTTAAAAATAAAGAAATTCGTGATTCTGAAAGTCCAACCGGTGATGGTGGTTTTGTTCAAAAAGCAATGCGCAACATAAATAGTAATGATGGTGTTATAAAACCAAATACATCTGGTTGGAATATAACATCATCATCAACAGTTAATCCTGATGGATCTGGGTATAAGAATGAATCATTGGCAACAACAGAAGGTATGTATATAATTTGGGAGAAAAAAAAACCATGAAAATTTTGTTATAAAAGAAATTATATTTTGTTTTTTTTTTCTTGTTAAATACTTCTGTTATTGCGAGGAAATCTAATTGTGTACAATGATTTTTGAAAATTCAATTTCATTATGTTGTACATGGCAATTGCAACATTCAATTAATTGTTTAAAATATTTTTATGGCGCCTTTAAGTGTAATAAAACTGACGGTTTTCAATTTAGAGAATGAAGTATTTAAAGTACATATATATTTTATATTTAAAGAAGGTATTTTACAGCTCGTCTGCTGTAAAATACCTTCTTTAAATATAAGAGCTGTAAAATACCTAAATAATATTTAATAATGAAAAATTAAGCTTGGATTTCAGTCAAATTTACAATTGTACGAGTATGATTATTAAAGAAAAATGATAAAACAACCTTTTAAATATTTTAAGAAAAAATTTTATTTTAGAAAAAAATTTAAAATTAATTTTAAATGAAAATACAATTTTGGATTTTAGGAATTCAAATAAATTAAAATATAATCGATTATAAGCGATATAAAGTGATATACATCCAAGTTGAAAAAGTTGGGATGCAAAAATCGAAATCATTTTTTAATTTTTTTTTTTCTTAACACATAAATTTTGTTTTTTATTTTATTTTGCATTTTTTTATTTTATGTTCAATTTTAAATTTTAATTATTTTTTTGTGTTTTTTTTTTTAATTTTATTTATGATTTTTGTTATTTATGAAATATCGTAGGTTTGCAATTTTAAAAGTAATTTTCGAGGAAATTTTTCATTCACTATTAAATCTTATGCGATTGGTGTCAATATTCAAATAAATCAACCTTCTTAATTCTAGTATGTAGTTAGAGTTGTTTAAATTTACAACAATTACATTTGGAAAATAGTAATAGTGTAGTGGTCAAGTTATATTGTTAGTTTGGGTGGTTTAATTTAAAATTCTAATCTGAAAATTTTTTTAACTTGTGCCTATCATTTTATAAATTATGTATATATGCATGTATTGAATTAGAAGTGCACATATAAATCGTATGTACAGCTATATTTTCAATATGTGTATAGCAATTCAAACCTACAAGATTCTGCACGATTTTGAATGACTTAAATAATTTCTAGTATGTGATAAAATTAAATTTTTTTTTAGATTTATTTTATAATCAATTTTTATAAGTTTATTAAAAATACAATTATTACGGTCTTGCAACTATTTTCCGGTATTTGGTCAAATTGGAAATTAGGTTTTTTCTATAATGAATATTTCAAAAGTGTAGCGACATTAAATAATTATGTTTTAATCACACCGGAAATATTATTTTGATTTTTAAGTTGTTTTATATAGAAAATTATATAACACCACCTACAAGTCATTTTTACCTTTTTATGTTTTTGTTTTTTCGAAATAAACCATTAGTTGTTGTATTTTTCTATAAAACAAAATGGCATTGTTAATTTGAAATGGTTAATTTTTGAATAAGCGTTAAAAATACACAAGTTAATTTAAAGATTAGATTAAAATCTAACAAACATGAAATGTCGGCAATTATTTCGATTTAAAACAATATGCTTTTTTTGTGTTCGATTCGATTCTTTGTTTTCATATCAATTTAAATGATTTTTTTTTCTTTGCTTTTCCTTTATTTCTTTTATTGAATAAGAAAAGAAGACAGAAAATGTTTAATTGAAATTCAATTTCTTTTACTGTGAACGGTTTTCGGCAACACAAACTACACAACAGTTTGTCACAATAGTTATTAATTTCATATTTCACTGCAAACCCTTTCACTGGTTCATACAACATTTTACTAGATGAAATCGTGTCATACTTTTGTTTTGAATTCCATTTAAATTTCGACATTTAAAAATTAAATGTCATACGCGTAAGTAATCAACAATTAAATTCGGTTTTGACACCCTTGAAAGTGCTTATTTCCTTCTTCATACGTTCTCAAAGTAAATTCAATTGTTATAAATTTTGATAAACACATTTTCGATTGTATGCACATATGTGTATGTACATTGTATATGTTATTTATTTTATGAATTCCAAAGTAGCGGATCTTTCAATTGATTAATAACAATTTTATTTTCTTTTACTATTTTTAGAATTCTGACTTATAATTGTTTACAAACTGTCAAACATAGAAAATTGTATTACTAAACGTATGTACATAATATTTTTTGTGAACAAAGTTCAACACGAATTTCCATTGTTTTTATGATTTGGTACTCGTTTTTTTGCATGAAACATTGAGCAACAAATGCAAAATTTTTGTTCTTGTAAATAAAAATGCAAATAAGTGCAAAACAATTCAACTCAAAACGATTATTTGAAAATTGAAGCTGATTTCGTGTTCAAGTAATAAAATTATTCAATATTATTTCAATAATAGGAACAAAAATACATTCGAGATTTTACATTAAAATTAAAAATTATTTCCGCAATATAATTAAAGTGCTGTTATCGGTCATTCCAGTTTTATTCATATTGAAATGAATGCTGGTACTCGTACATACACACAAGTACATTCGGCTATTAATAGGTTTTATGTCATCTGAAGAATGGCTATACACACTGAAATAGAAAACACTGAATCATTAAATTTTATGCAAATTTTTTTTGATTTAATTTATTTTTTAAAAAAAAATGTTTTATATACTGAAATTTTGCGCTTTATTCGAAATCTTTTCGTATATTCTGTTTATAAGTATGTATATTATTACCTATTTTACATATGAATCGAATTTATAATGAAGAAAGCAAAGAATATTCATGTAAATTAGAAAAAGGTTTTTTTTTAATTTCAATTCAATCTTATATTAGAAATTCAGATAAGATCAATACAATTTTTGATTTTTGAATGCAAAAGTACTTAAGTTTATATACATATGTATTTCACCTTTGTATAAAAAGAAGTAGCAACTAAAAAAAAATTTGATTTTTTTCTTGTTTTGTTTTTGTGCTTTTATTCTCTTTTTTTAATCATATGTACTTTAAGCTTTCAAGGTGAAGATTAAACTTGAATTAAGAACGATCGAGTACAATAAACAATCAGTGAATAAGTGATGTCACATCGAATACTAAAAGAGAGAGGAAAATACAAAAGACTTCAAATTTATTTCTTCATTGTATTTAAATAACTTTTTTTTTTGCTTTTTTTTTCAAATATTATCAAAAAAAGCTATTGACTGAGAAGAAGGTGACAACCAGAATGTTATGTGTACGCAAAAAAATTTCAGCTACTTTTCTTTTTTTTTTGATCAGATCCACAAAATAAAAATTTCAACATAATAGAACCGTCATAAAGTTAATCGCTTCATAAAAGGAAAAGATTGCGTAAAAATCTTTTTTTAAAATAATTTTAGCATCTTTTGACCATTCAAATTTTTTATTAGGAAATTGACAAAAAAAAAGCCGGTTCTGTCATTTCTTTTAAAGATTGCAATTATTCAATCGCTTATTTTATATTATGGAAGGTGTGATTTAATATGTCAAAAAAAGTAAGAATATTCAAAACATATGATGTCATTCATTGAAAAATCGAAATTTATCATGCCGAAGAAATTAAATTCGATTAAAAATTTTGAAATTTTTGCCATATTTACGCAAATATCTGGAATTCAGTTTTAATTTTTTTGAATTGAATTTTTTTCAAGCTATTTTTGTTCATTTCTTTTAATTCTAATTAATAAGAATATCATGCAAGAGTTTATTAGGGTTATAAAATTCAAGTTTTTTAAAATCTTTCAACTTTCAAATTAAATTCCATAGTATGTTTAAAAAATGATATGTATGAATGTACGTAGTATGTAGCAACAAAAACTAAAAAAAAAAATGAAAAAAAAAAAATAAATTTGTTAATTTTTCTAATCTTTAATTTCAGTAACTACGACAATTAGTTCAATGACACTAAGCATTGAGAACAGTTCCATGAGCAAAGTTGTCAGTAATAATAGTAGTTGTAGTACGTAGGGGTTAATTTTCTCAATTTTTCTATTATAGAAATAATTTTATTTTCTTGAATTGATTATAAATTCACCTACTAATTTTCTTATGAATTTAATTTTAAACTTTTAATTCACTTGAATTTTTACTCTCAAGCAACTTTAATTACTTTAATAAAATAATCAATAATTAACCATGTTACGTTAATATACGTTACATTTATGTGGATGTGTTTGTATTTGTACGTTTAACAAGAACAAAAAAAAACAAATACTAGTATATTTTTCACTCACATCATCTGGGTAAACCAAATTAGCATACACATTTGCTAACTTGAAAATTGCAAATGCTTTTCATTTTTTTTATTTTATTCCAAACCCAACATCAGAGAATCAATTACTACCTACACGATAATTGCAAGCCAAATTCGCAGAAAAAAAATGTAAAATAATCTAGAAAATGATATTAATTTTTTGTTTGTTTTAACTTTTATTAGCTCTTCTTTTCACTCTAATTTTAGTCAGTTTGTTTGAAAATTAACTAGAATAAAAAAAATTAATATTTTACTGAATATTTATAAGCACTGCCATTTATAGTATACGTACAATTTGATTCTAATATAGTGAAACTAGAAAAAATAAAACTTTTTATTCAAATTAAATTTGTTTGGTTGTTCCCAATCTATAATCTTTCTCTCCTCTAGGTTCACGAAAAATAGCCGGTGGTCAACATGAATTTGCTGGTATAAATCAGCATATGGAGAAAGCTTCACATTATGGTGATGATAAAAACTTTGTTAAATCAGCTGCCGAAAGTTCTAATACTAAATTACAAGAGTCCACGGTAGTTGGTGATGAAAAATCTGGTCGTATTGAGAAAAAATCTAGTACCGTAGTATCATCATCATCAAAATCATTTTCTCAAAAACAAACCACTTCCGGTAACATGGGTGATTTTGATCCAAATTTATTTGGAATTGATAGGCCATCTGGTCAATTTCCCGCTATATTAGAAAGGCGTGATTCAACACAGTCAAATGCCACTGATTATTCGACAAGATCAAACACAAATCAGTCGTTAAAAGAAAAATTAGCAATGACAAGACAAAATGTTGAAAGTCGATCGACTTCTTCGATACGTGAAGAAGAATTTCACCACCAAACACAATCTAAAACATCTTCATCTAAAACAAATCAACAACAGCAAATAGACCAACAAGAACAGCAGCAACATAGACATTATGAAATTGGTGGCAAACATCACTTACGTGAAACCGATAACTATGAAAGAGAACATCAAAGATATCAAGATGAATTGGAACGGAAATTAGCTCAAGAAATTTCTCAACAACAACGGCATCATAATGAACAAAAAAGTAGTAGTACTACTACAGAACATGCTACTAGTCACCAACAACATCATCAGCAAAAAATTTTGAGACAATCTGAAAATATTTCGAGAGAAGAACAGCAGAAACAGCATATTAGTAAACAGCAAAATACCACCTCAGCAATTGATGGTATTGATGAACGTTATTTAACTAAGTATACTGATAATACTGGTACTACTATTAAAAAATCAGGTGTCATTAATAAAGATAGTCCACCAGAACTACAAGCTCAATTTGAAAAATTGAAGGCGCAACCTGGTCGTATCATATCTGAAGAAATATCTTACCCAAAGCCAGGTGTAAAAATGATTACGACCAAAAAGGAATTATCTGATGGTACCGTAGTCACAACACGTGATTATGAAACTAAGACACCAAATGAAAGAGTTGTTCAAGAAAAGGTGATTGCGGGAAATACTGAGCGCTCTCAACATGTTAAGTATAATACAAATACGGAAAAAACTGATCGGCAATTTACAAAAAGCATAGATCAAAGAAATCAACAAATTTTACGCAACACTGATGCAACTGATTCATCAGATCGTACCAGTTCAACAAGAAATAGGGATGTCACTGATCATTCTAGGGTCAGACATGACGATTACGTTGAAAAGATCAGAGATGCTGTTGAAACACTAGATATAAATAAAACTGTTAAAAAAGACTTAAGTAGAACAATGCGTGATGAAAACTTAACGCAAGCGGATTTTGTTGAAACTGATCGCGGATGTGTATTAATTGATCGAAATACTGGTCGCCCAGAGCGGTATACAACATCTGATGTTTGCGATCGTAATGCTGCTTTAAGAGAAGAACGTCAAGAATATGAATATCAGACAAAAGACGTTCGACAGCAAAAGTTCGTAAGAGAAGATGATACACAGAGTACACATGGTTTTCCGTCTCAAAGAGTACCAGATGAAAATCGTCATCCTGGAGAAAAAATTCATAAAATTTATAAAGATGAAGACGGTTTTCGTGGAACGCATGGTTTCCCTTCAGCTCGCAGTCCTGATACGAAATCTCAATATTCAACATCAAGTACTACAAAAGAACACTATGAGCAAACCACTCGTAGTAATCAACATGATGAAGATTTTCGTGGCACACATGGATTCCCATCGGCTCGCACTCCAGGAGACAGCGGAGATCATATAACGAGACGCTCTGATTTCGCAGACCAATATCCACAAAAATCAACACCCAGAGATGATGATTTCTTGGGAACACACGGATTTCCTTCCACGCGTGAACCTTCTGGAAGATATTCGCCATCTGTATCATCAGAACTTTCCGAACATTATGAAAAGCGCACACAAAAAACTGATGAATCATTTTTGGGTACACATGGTTTCCCATCAGCTAGAGCACCAGATGATCGTCCTTATGACAGACAACCAACATCACCTGGGGCAAAATCTAAGCAACCAGTTGGGCCAGATTTTCGTGGCACTCATGGATTTCCATCAGTTGCAGTTGACAAAAATGAAAGACAAACCCGTGTGGAAACTCAACAACAACAGTTTACAACTCAGAGTACAGTGAAACATGTTGATGCTGCTCATGAAGCTTTTGCCCGTTCGTTACGTTGTGTTTCACCAATTGATAATACAAGGCGCGGAAGTAATGCAAGCCAAAGATCTTATCGAACTAATACTCATGGATCTACAAGATCTCATGACAGTCCAGCGCGAGAAAGATCCGTCCTTTCCGATTCCAGTCATGTGAGTTCAGGTACGGTAACAAAAGGAACAACAACCCGCACTCCAACTAAACACCATTCAAAGGAAGTACATCACTCAAATGAAACAATTGATTTGCCCTCTAAAACCATACACACAAAAACAACAACAACAAAAGCTACATCACACGATGCAACACCAGGTGAGCTTATAAAAAAAAAGAATGTTTCAAATTTAAATAGGAATCTAGGTATAAAAAGAATAACTCCTGTTTCATCTTCACCATCGAAAGTTTATAATAGAAATTTAAGCAGAAAGCCCATAACAGAACCAGAGATAAAAAAGAAAACTGCATTTGTGGATGATAGATTTATAGGTGCTGTGGAAGTCGTTGAGGAAGCATGTGTTAAAAAAAATATAACACCTTTGTGTCCTGATGGCTGTCCACTACCAAAAAAAAAATCTACTACAATCTCTACTACTAACACTAAACCAATTGTTTTAAAAAAGTCTTCTATAACAAAAACAAATTTAACTCCTTCATCATTAGGTAAGCCACAATTGAAGACTTCCATAAAAAGTCCAACAAAAAGTTATTTACAACCAACGACTGCATCAAAAACTTTAACTAGGTCTACTCAGAGCTCTATTAAAAAAGTTGATTCAAAAGATATTGATCGTTCTTCAGTTAGACCAACAACAAGATCTCTTATTTTGACGAAGCCAAGTACAGTGACACGTAAAATAGGAACAAATGTTACAAAAACTGGAACTACTGCAACAAAACCCTTAGCAAAACCTGTAACGGGCTCCCGCAAATTGAAAGAATCTGTTACAAAAAAAACTGAATTGAGATCTTCAATGAAAAGTCCGACAAGCGATGGCCGTTCAAAATCTAGAAGTCCGGGAAGAGTCGATTTTCAAGCCAAAAGTACTGTTAAAACAACAATTCGATCATCTTCCAAAAGTCCAATACGTTCAAAATCAAAAAGTCCGCTGAGATCCTCTTCAAAGAGTCCAATAAGGCCATCTTCAAAAAGTCCAACGAGACGATCTTCTTCAAGAAGTCCAACACGAGCTGATATACCATTAGATCAACGTAGTCCATTCAAACATTATCTGGAACCAACTGAATCTTTAAAAACACGTTTAAATGCAGCTGCTGATGAATATGTTGAGCAAGAACTTCGAAAAAAGAATGATCATCGATTTGAGCCAATTGGTATTGAGATCATTGATAAAAGATCTAAAAGTAGATCACCAGTTAGATCACCAGCTAGATCATCTGTTAGTCCAACCAGATCTTCAGTTGCAACATCAATATCGAGAACATCTTTTGAAGAGAAAATGAATGAAATTGAAAATGATAATCTAACTGAAGAACAATTAAAACAATATATAAAAGATTTTGAAACAACTGATATAAATGATACGAGTAGACCGTTTACTATAAAAGGCCCGCTACCAAAATCTTGCCCTGAAGGCTATATTCCAATTCAAGTGACAAAAAAAATTACAACAGACTTTAAAGAAGTATCCGATAATACAGTTGATTATCCAGAATTTTTAAAGCGGCCGAAAACACCAATTAAAGGTAGTTTTGAAACATTAGATTTAGAAAGTATTGAAAATCAAATAACAGATGTTGCATAATTAGTGAATTTATCATGTGAATGAAAAACTAAAACATAATTCAGAATCACAAATGCATTTCACCAATAATATTTTAATTCCTAAAAAAAAAAAGAGGAAAAAGAGAATGATTAATCTACAAAAAAAAAACATAAAAGGCGCACCGTAGTTTATTCTAACTATGTTTTACCAAATAGTAGCACCATTTTAATAATAGTATGCAAAAAAAAGAACAAAACCAACAAATGATCACATCTATGGGCTTTTTTCTAAAAACCAAAATTTCTTATCTAAAGATTCCTAAAGCACACTGTATAAAATATAAAATTTCAAAAGACTTAGATGAGAAACATTAAAAAAGCAGTCAAGCATCGTAACTAATTATTTAAAAAACTAAAAAGTGAAAATGGAGATGAAAATCGGATTTTAATGCTAATTTTACTGATTCTGTACTTTATACCTTTTACTTACTTATATTTCCTTTTTTTAACTGATATTTAATAATTAAAGATAATAACTTTTGTTGAACAAATAAATATTTTTTTAATGTAATTCGGACAAATAACGCTTAAAAAATTAACCTGTATAACAGTTCACCAATTTAATGCACAATAATTATAAAAAATAACCGAATAATTGTATAAAACTGTTGCTGTTTCTTAAAACTGAAATTTCAAATCAAAAACTAAAAACAGTGTACAAATATTAACCAAATCATCAAATGTTTAATACAAAGGATTTTCCACAAAAATTAAAACACAAAAAAATTCAGTGCTAGGTGCAAAATGTGAGTTTAATTGAATTTTGCTATCAATTTCTGTGTAAAAATTCAAAAAATGGCAATTTCCTGACACATTTTCGAAGTTGTAATTTAAAACTAAAATTTTTCCTTATTTTTATTCCAATATAAAATTTATTTTCTTCCTAAATAAGAATAATTCTGACTGATATCAATTAATTACAATTAATGGCTCTTACTTTCAAAATAGAATGCAATCTTCAATTAGGAAAAATCTCCTTAAAAGTTTTGAAAAACTGAAAACAACAAATTAGATTATTATCTGTTGAAAATAATGAAAACAAGAAAAGAAAAAGAGGAAATACAGAATTTTTCCGAACACAATTTTCATTTCGAATTTGCCTAATTTTAGGCGAAAGTCATATTTTAATACAATATGTAATTTTATCATACGCACAAATTCAACTCAAACCGGAAAATATTTTCGAAATTTCTTACTTTAAGAATTATAGAATATAAATAAGAGAAGGAAAAAAGAAACAATCAAAATAAAAACTAAAAATGTTTAAACACAAAAAAAAAAACAATATGTATGTCATTGAGTACAGAATAATGCCATTATTCTGTACTCAATTTTGTGAGTTTTCATTTAATAATGTTTTTGTATATAGGATTATATATACGTTTAATATATACGTGCAGCTAATCAGACAATTTAATTTTCTCACATTTTGTTTTTGTGTCAAAATTATTTTTGTTTAGTCTTATAGTTACAAAAGAGGTAATTCTATAGTTACGAAATATGATTGGTACAGTTACTTTAAATATTTGATACTGTTAATTGTACTAAATCAAAAAAATTTGCGTTTTTTAAGTAGTTAAATATTGAGAGAAAAATATTACTTCATGGTCATTTTTATTGTAATTTAATGTCAGTCATTAAATAATTGCTTAGGAATATTTTAAGCTTTTACATAATCTTACGAGTTTTTTCAGTTAATGAGTTTAACAAATTTTCCACAATAAATTGTACACCGTTACATTATTGTACTGGTATTAATAAAAAAAATTTTTATATAACAATTAACACTCAAATGCAATAATTCTAAAAAGTAATTGAAAAAAAAATTAATTATATATTTGAAAAAATTTTCAGCGAAGAAACAACAACGGTAAGACTTCAATTTGAAAAAATTATTTCATTTTATATGTATGAGTATTTGTTTACGTTTATCTATATGTATATATTATTGTAAATATTTTTCAACTTGTATTTTTCTTTAATTTTTATTTGTTCAACATACAACTGTATTTCTTAATGACAAATTGTATTTATTTTTGTAGACTATAACTTTTCTTTAGATATTTTTTTGGTATGTGTGAAATAAAGCCATATGAAAGTACTATTAATAATTTTATGAAAAATAATGATTTTACAATGGAGAATTTTTCAGTTATTCATGCAGAATTATTTTTAAATTCTTCTATGGCATTATTTCTTAACCCATTAAATTTTCTACTGTTTTTCTATTATAAAAGTATTTTATTGATTCTCTCGCCTGTAGCCTCTATCCTGTACATTATTTAATTTTTTAATAATTTTTTTCCTTCTGTAGTTTCTATGCTTGCTTTAAAATCTTCTCCTTATCAATTTTTAATTAAAATTAAAATTAGCACCATTTGTATGGAAAACAAAATTTAGCACCTTATAAGTAGTAAAAAATTTATTAAAAGAATTTTTTTTTGATTTTAAATATTTAATTATTTTTTTTTTTATTTAATTATTTATTTTTTTTTTAATTTTATTTTTCTTTTGGTTTTTTACTATTAATTTTATTATTTTTATACTAATAAAATATTTTCACAGGAGTAAAAGGATATTCAACTGAAAGTTCGTCATTTAGTAAAACTACTACATCTTCGTCATCAGCAAAACGAGATAGTCCATACAAATATTAAAGTCCAATAAAGTGCGCGTTGAAAACACAATGGAAAGCTCATTTGTAGCAGGGGTTTTTCAATTTGAATTTTTTGAACTTAATATACTTATATTTGTTGGAATATTTTTACTCTATTTAAATTTTATAATTTCAAATTAATTGAAACAAAATTATAAAAATAACAATTAAAAAAATTTACTATTTTTTTTTATTAACGTTTAACTTAAATTTAATTCAACATTTTTTATTCTTTGCGACATTTGTTGATGCATGCATGAGTATAAGAATTTTTTGCCGTGTATTAAAGTGTACAGTATAAAGTTGTTAAGGAAATTGAGAGTGATGTCATCGATAAAAGAGCAAAGAATGTTATATTCAACTCCATGTATAAAATTTATGTAGAAAGAATTTAATATGTTGAGTTAAATAGTTAAGCAAAACTTACTAGGCTCGATATTTACACACTTTATATTAATTCTTAAAAAAATGAAATTTTATAATTGCGATTATTACAACATTTTTACATAAAGTTCATTTAATTAATTTAAAATTGCTTTTTTTTGTTTATCTATAATTATCAAATGAAAAAAAAATCACTTTAATTTAACTTTTTAATAATTTAAAATAACCTTTTTTGAATTTATTTGAATAATTGCTGTAAAAAGAGTGTAAATTAACTGGAAATTATTAAAATTTGATCATTATTTTTAGTTTACTATAATTTTTAAATTGTACTACTCTTTGTTTTTTTTTATTTTTACATTCAAATATCATATTTTATTTATGCAAGAAATATATAAATATAAAAATATTATTAAAATATTGAAAATAAAATATAACTAACCTTAAAAGTTATTAGAAAAAAAAACAAAAAAAAAATGGTGTTTTTGTAAAACTGCTTTTTCTTTTATTAAAAAAACTCAATGTCCAAATTGGTTTAAGAACAAAAAAGAAAAGGCTTACCAATAAAAATTTCACGTCAATTAAAAAAAAATAACTAAAAATCGTCCTAATGTTTCTATAATAATTTTGGTGCTGAGGAATTCCACTTACATTCGTTACTTACTTGAATTCTGTTATAATTTTCTTTTTTCATATTAAAATTGTTTTGTTTATCTTGTGCAGTACAAACCAATATTTGAATCCTCCTATACAATTAAAATCAATTTTAGAGGAGTTGAGAGTCGTACCTTACATACCTGAGTTCAAATTAATTATGTGAAGAAAGAAATTTAACTACAAGCCGCAGCAATGTTGTTAACATTACAAGCACTCTCTTTTTTCTCATTTTAAAATATTTTCTTTATCAGATTGCTGATAAAGCTTTTTAAAAGTACTCTTATATTCAACAAAAAAAAAACTTAAAATTCAATTGAAATAAATTTAATTTTTTAAGAGAAGACAAAAGCTCTTTCTATTTCAAAGCTCTTCTAAATTTTAATTTACAAAATGAAAAATTTACATAAATTGGTAATTAAAGTTAATTTATTTTTCTCTATAAACGTGTGATTATTTCTCATTACATGTTGTGAACTTTTAGAACAAGAAATTTAACAAAACAGACAATATTTTTTATATTTACAGTAAACTGTTACGAATAATTAGTCAGTCGGCTACTTTCAAAAATTTATTATACATATATGTAATTTGACAATGTAGAGCTTATGTATTGTTATTTACATATATTGCAACACTCAATTTTATTAAAGATTTTTTTTTTAATTTTAAACATAAAAGAGAAAAATTATACATATATACATATTATATGTACAAAGTTGATTTAAATATCCCTTCAATCTTTAAGCAAAGACACAATCCATATATGGAATTTTCTTGATGGAAAGGGATTTTTTACTTGTGAAAAAGTTATACATTGTAAAATTCTTTTATTACAAAATCTAATAACTACTATTAAAATTGGAATAAAATTTTTGTGAGTAAAAATAGTCCAAAGGCCCATGTTATTTTTTGTGTTTCTGTAAATTATTTTAATAACAAAGCTCCAAATGCTTGTAGAATTGAAATCGTGGAAAAACTAACGTTTGGTTTTGTGCGCCATCTAGATTTTCATGAACATTAATTTATTGTCTAGATTATTGTTATTGAGTTTTTGGAAATTCACATAAAATTTAGTGTTAATAAAATTAAAATAAAGCCTAATAAAATTTTACTTCCAATTTTATAGTTTGAATTTATAATTAGAATTACAAATTTTGAAGGAAAATATTTTCATTCTTCTGAAAATTTCTTGAAAATAAAAATTAAATTTCTATTCACGTAACAATTTGTAATTAAAAGTGGAAAATAAGGCATAGATATTACTTTTAATTATATTCCGCTTAAAATTAACTTCATTTTCAAAATCTACTTGTGTTTTCTTTCTACTAGCTCACTGTTCTTTTTAAATATTACAACAGATTCTTATTTTAAAACAGTAAGGATTGAATATTGCACTTATTTTTTCGCAGTAACAATGCAATAATAATACTGCTTAAATGGATTGCGCCACAATTGGAAATAAAATTTAAATTCAATAGTTTGAAAAAATCTTGGACCTGAAAATTTAGAATCGGATATTTCACGATAAATTTTTCTGAAATGCTGGACTATCTCGTTTCACTTTTAATCATATTTTTTTCACTAAAATTTCAGTTATTTTTAATTAACTACTTTAATTTTTCATTAATCTCGTTTTCACTTAAATTCTTCATAAACTCACTTATTATAAAAACGTTTTCAAAATGATATTGTAATTTATAGGATTTACGAGGTACTCGCCAACAACATCCCCAGAACGTCGTTCTACTAAGACAATTCCCAATGCCGCTAATAAAACAAGTCCAGAAAATAAATCGAAAACATCAAAACCTATTGATAAAGGGACTTGTATGACCACCTCAACAACTACAAAAATAACTACTAAAACAATACGAAATGAAAGCCCGCAAAATAAAATTGACAAAGAACAACCAACGAAATCGTCATATCCCACAGATGAAAAACGCTCCGAGTCACCAATTAATCATGAGATCGATGATGAACGAAACTTAAATCGAAATACAAGATCCAACACCTCAAGAAGAATAACAAAAAATATTGATAACACAGAAGAAATTCAATCGAATATTACAAAAAAAACTAAATCTTCTCCGACTAGAAATCAAAGTCCGAGTAAAAGTCCTGCGTATGATTCACCAAAATCATCAAGAAAGTCATCACCTACAAAACAAGGTCCAACTTCGAGAGAACCATCTCCTAATCAAAAACCAACATCAACAAAAAAAGTTTCAACAATAACAACAAAAACTAAAACTACGAAGGGTTTTGATGATAAATTGAGAAAACCTGAACGACAACCATCGGAACCGGAATTCGAATTAGATTCGCCAGGCTCTGGTTATACAACAAGTGATTTTGAATTTGTTCGTGTGGATGATACTGAAGTTCATAATACCCATAGAACGGAAACTAATTTTAATCACTCAAAGCACTCAGCACAACCAGTCAAAAAGGCATCAACTTCTCCGCACGAGTCAGGATCAAAACACTCCCCACATTTAACAAGAAAAACTACTGAAAAAACTTTCGAAACTAGTTCAAAATATTCTCCACAACCAGTCCAAAAATTTCCAAATAAACCAAAAGATATTGATTTTACACATTCTCCACAATTAACTAGAAAAATTCCTAGCAAGCCGCATGAAAGTGGTTCTCCAGAACGAAATAGAAAATTTCCAGAAGACTCCAGACAGCTGTTTGAACCATCTAGGGATGATTCAGAGTACGGTCTAGAACCTTCAAAAGGATACCCGGAAATCGAAACTGGCCCTGAAAGTTCAGAACCAACAGAGAAACCACAAACTGACAAATTATATAGAAGTGATTCTAGCTACTCTCCTCAGCCAACTAGAAAATCGCCAGAAAAAACTCATTCAAAACAATCTCCAAATTCAACTCGTAAGTCTCCAGAAAAAACTATATCTACAATTGGATCAACTTCAACAGGTTTTACTAAATCTCAAAAAACTGATAACGCTATTTATCGTGATAGTAGTCCACAAAGGCGCAAACCATCAGAGCCTTCTAAAGCGTATATTGAAGATGAATCTGAACCAGAGAATGAACCGGCTTACCATGACACAACTGAATTCATTGTTTCAGAAACGACTGATACTCAGGATGGTATTATTGAAAGTAAACAGACCCAGCAGAAAACTGATACGTTTACAAGACAGAAAAAAACACAGGAATTTATCGATTCTGAACGTTTCGATGCTGAGTTTCCACAATTTGATCGTGAACCTTCACCAATAAATGAAAATATTAGACCACGATCTACATCAAAGGATTATCAAGCGGAAATTGAAAAAATTACACAAACATCTCCAGGTACGAGGAAATTCCCACAACAAAATGATAAACCCGAAAAAAGCGATTATTATAAAGAAATGCAAAAAATTACAAACGACACGACGTTCATTGATGAAACAAATGTGAAATCTTCAAATATTGTAAGTGATCATATAACAGACGAACATAATAGAAGAACATATGTAACTAGAGGAGATATTCCAATAGAACCTGATGATGAAGAGGAACCCAGGCAACCATTTTTCTTGAAAGAACCAATAAATGTCGATGAAAATGTTCATGAACCAACGGGAAGCAAACCAAAAGGTTTGGATACGATCGCAACTAACGACACAGAGTCTAAAAATGAATATCCAAAAGAAATACCTAAATCAAAAACTCCGTTTACTCGAAGTGAAACCTTTGAAGAACGTTGTCGTCAAATGTTAGGTATAAGTGATACTTCAGAGAAAACGACATCTAAAAAGCATCAAAAGACAACCGAATTCATAACTAACGAGCGTCGTTACCAAGATTCATTTTTAAATCGTAAGAGCTCTAGTTCATCCCCAGTGCCATCACCGAGATCAACCAGCCCTCAAAAGATGAGGGATTCTGATGTCAAAATAACTGTAACAACAACTGAAAACGTAACTAAAACCAATTTCTTGGAGAAAGAATCATATTCAGACGTTGATTCAATAAAAACACGTTCAGCCAGTCCAAGTCCAGTACGACGTTCTAAGGCACCAACTCGTGAAACTTCTCCTTCTCAACGACCTGATCACCCAGAAGTTTCGCTTCAAACAGTTACAAAAAAATCAAATACTGATTCTCTTAAAGATACTTATTCTTCATCACCATACGATTCCCCATATTCGAGATCCCCAGATTCAAGTCCAATACGAAGACCAGGAACAGATTCAGCTTATTCACGTTCACCAGATTCTAGTCCAGTGAGAGAGCATATAAAGACGATACAAACTACAACAGTTTATGAAAAAACTAAACCTACATCGAAAGAAACTAGTCCAGTTAGATCTTCCAAAACCACCAAAACCAGAACTACTGACAAAGAAAAAATTTCTCTAACAACAAATAGTTACGAAATAAGTACACAAAAAAGAAATCAATCTCCCGTACAGCCAAAACACATTACAACTGCGAGAATAGAAATTTCTCCAACATCAGTTCGAAAAACTCTTTTAGAAAAAAATACGTCCCCAACACGAAAGCCCACTGAATCAAGAAAACCATATGAAACATCTCCCACAAGAAAACCAATCGATACGTCGCCTACGAGAAGGGCTCCGATTTCGCATAAGCCTTATGAAAGTTCACCAACCAGAGAATCGACTAAACCTAGTAAACCACATGACAATTCACCAGGAAAAACTTCACCTAGGCCCAGTCCTTTTGATAGTTCGCCAACAAGAAAAACCACTGGACCAAATAAAAGGGAAGAATCACCCTTGAGAAAGTCTACAGAGTCAACCAAACCATATTATGAGTCTCCAACAAGAAAGACAACTGAATCGAGAAAGCAATATGATGAATTTCTTACAAGCATATCCGAACCTATCGAACCCAATTTCGAAACTCCGATAAAAATTCATACTGAACCTTTAAAACCACTTGACAATTCAACTACTGCACAGCTCCATGAAATGAGAAGACCACGCTATGAATCTCCAACAAGAAAATCAACAGAGCAAACGTCAACTACCAGAAATAAACTTCATGAGGTAACGAAGGGAACGACAAGTATAACAAGTTCACGGATAATAAATAAAGGTCCTTCTCCTTCAAAAGATTCCCCACGGAAGCCCAAAGAAAAAGAAATTGCCACAAAACCTACAATTCGTAAAAAAATCGTAAAACGGGAATCTTTGACAACTGATAAAATTACTAGGGGTGACATTGAGGTCGACGAGTCAGATGTATTAAGTGACGATGAGAATATTCTAATTATTGAAACTACGTCTAAAGTTACAGATACAAAAAAATCCACACCAGCGAAGAAATATCCTGTTACAGAACGGAAAGAATCAGCCCCAGTAAGTCGGACTACGCAAATAGATCGGGATACCAAGTTTACACGCTCAACAAGTGACAACATTTTCAAAACCAGTGCGACAAAAAGGACTTTAAATAGATCAAACGAAACTCCTAATAAAACAAAGCCAGTTGAGTCCCCTAAACTAGTAAAAAAGCAACCATCTGATCAAAAGAGAGATAAGAATGAAAAGAGACCAAGTAAATGTTTAACAACTAAAACTATCAATCTAACAACAGCTAATAATATCCTCAACAGTGAGGAAATGGAAAATGTTGTAATTGATATTCAACAAGCAAAAAGTAGTCGCGAACCTTCACCTAATAAAATTGTTCCAGTGCCAGTTTCTGCAAGCGCTGACGACGATCATGACGGTTTCCCAAGATATCCAGATGAGGTTCAAGAGCCTGAAGATTCAAGACGTACTCCAAAAGTTCGTAATATTCCAATATTTCAAGAAAGCCTCAACGATTTTGTCGGTTGCCAAATAACAGAAATCAAAGAAACTGATGATTGCATAATAAATGAAAGACGTCAGCAAAATATAAATGTAACTGAAGAGGATAATTTTACGAAAAATTCAAAAATGAGAGATACAATCCGAACATCAGCAACTATTGTCGATGATAAAGTTGATGAGAATTGTTTACTGAGTGTTCATGAGAAAGTTCATAAGTTCATTAATACTGCAGAGGAAATTAAGAAACCAAAAACATCCTCGCCATTCAAGCGTGATTTACAGGAAAAAGAACAATATCCGGTTGATGATGAATGTCTTTTAAGCGTTAACGATAAAGTTAATAAATTCCTTTCAACAGCTGAAAAAGTAACCAAAGATGTGATAACATCTTCTGGAAAGCGTGTAGTTCAGCGTTTAAATGTCGATGAAATTGATGAAAATTTAAGGAACGATGAATGTGTTCTAAGCGTTTCTGAAAAGGTGAACAAATTTATTAATACGGCCGAACGTCTAGTTGAATCCGTACCGCAAAAATCACCTAATTTGGTTGCACAAATCGATCGTCAAATATCGAAACAAAGTGAGGATGAAAGAAATTTCGAACCCATCAAGAAACAACCTTACGAACCGGTTGCAACTTATATACCCAATGGATCTCCTTATGATCATGAAGATTATTCAAAAACTAAAAAAGGTGAGCCAAAATACCCAAGGGACCGATCAACAAGCCCAATAACTAAACCACAGAAAAGTAAACCTTCACAACCTAGAGGAAGTCTTATAAGTAATGAAATTACAGTGAACAAAACAGTTACTCAGAAAAGTAAAGTAACGGATAGATATGCTCCAAATAAACCTAAAGAAATCACCAGAACAACGTCTAAGCCAGTGATCAAAACTACGGAAACTGTGCGTAAGGCTAAATCTGTTTTTGAAAATGGTGATGTAAAAACAACAAGTAGAACTACTACTTCAACATCAAATAATTCAAAGCAACGTGATATTATATCGAGGCCATCCGTTTTTGAGGCAAAAAGAAATCGGGAGCCATCGGATGTCAAATTAAAAGACATTGGTGTCAGAAAAACTACTAAAGAAAACGATTTAAATCGTCCGGAACCGAAATTGAAAGACGACAGACCACACAAAACAAAACCTGTTTCTTCATTTCAGTCAACGAAAAATTCCGTAACAGATTCAGTGTCATCCCGTAAAAATGTATTCGAACAATGCACAATACTCTCAACCAATGATATTGGCTCAGCCGCTTTAGAGGTTACTGAACGTCTGAGTAAATCAACACCTCGTCGCAAATCAGGTGCTGAGTCTCCAACAAGACGAACAGTTCCCGAATCGCCACACCGAAGGCAACCATCAGCGGAATATTCAAGAAAACCAGCTATTGTTACAGAAGCTACTGTGACAACATCAACAAGAAAAGTGCAATCACCAGCAAAATTCAATAACGCCGAGGATACTGATGGATATGTAGACAAATCTAAAACAACATCCCAGAAAAAAGTACCACTCTTATCCAAATCTCCCACCAGAGATGGTCAAGACTCCCCAATCCCAGCAACAAAAAAAGTTTTTGAATCAAATACGGAATATATAGATGAATATACTGACAAGTATCAAAAGGTTGAAAAAAATCACTATAGCAGAAAAGATTCATCGTCAACAATATCAACAAAAAAAATATCAGATAAAAATGAACAGTATGACACAGATACGATGGTAAGTAGGAAACCAACCGATTCAATACTGAGTGATTTATCTCCTCAAGGAATAAAACCTGTTCGTGAGGAAACATTTACGACTACAACAACAACAACTCGACGTGGCGACGAATCTCCATCTGTATTAGCACGAAAGAATATTTTTGAAAGTCCAGACGTGAAGTTAAATGGGTATAGTAGCCCCATACAGAAACCTTCATATATGGATCATACAAAATCTTCTTTGGAACATATTCGTCGTGATTCACTTGAAATTAATCGTACCAATTATCAAAGAAAAACATCATTTGATGAAGAAACTTTTGAAAATAATCCTAAGTCTGCTGTGAAGTTTGGCGTTCATTTAAAACATAACGCATCAGAATATAAACCTAGACGAAAGAGCAGTAGTTCCGAAATACCTCACATTGAAGAAATATTTGATTTAGAATTACTCGAGCAAATGTTAAGCACGGTCGTCGGTTATGAGCAAAGGCGGCGTATCCGAAGTCAAATAAGAATTGTAAAAAAACTCATTGAGCAAAAAAAGCGCGAAGAGACACAAATAGCGTATATTCGTGAGACATCTCCAGCAAGGCGTTCGACACCTTCTTCGCCGAGATCACCGTCACCTACCATTCGTGTTACAACGAGAAGACGTGAAGATATTACAAAAAAAAGCGAGGAAGAACAAGTAGCTTATATAAGGGAAACTTCGCCTGCTCGAAAAAGTCCAGTTCGCGAACAAACTCAAAATACTCCACGTCGAGATGCCACGAAAAAAAGCCCAGTACGCAATGCCACTAAAACAACTTCCATTCACGACGGGCGACAAACGAGTCCGGTACGAGAGTCAAGAGTTGAAAGAACGAGCCACAAAGAAAAGTATTCGAAAGGAAGCAGTAATACTAATTTCATAGATCATGAATCGAAGCATATAGAAAAACATGAATCTTATACTCGGGAACGTAGTATCAGCCCAAAATCTAAAGTAAAAACCGTTACAACAATTACTGAAATCAGAAAAGTAGGTGGCTCCAATATCCCAGATAAATCAATTACAACTAAAAAAGTGGTTCAAAGTAATACAAATGAAAAACCTATTTGGGCAACAAAAAATATTTTAAAGAAAGCAAGTGAAAGTGATAGAAGTGCAAAAGTTGGCACAACAAAGAAAATTCAAAGTAGTTCTACAACAAGAACATCTCATACGCAACAGAAGGATAAAAAAGTTTCCGATGAAGACGTAATTACGTCAAGCTATGGTATTGGACCAACTGATGAAGATGGAAGACCTCTATTTGGGTTACGTGCTTTGAAAACTAAAAAGCCTGCTGAAAGCAGCAAAGGTACTTTAATACAAATACTCAATTTTTATTACAAATTAAAAATCGATTATCACATTTTTCAGTCACTGGAACCATAGTTAGCGAAAGTTTCTATTCTGAGAATGGCCATGCTCCAGTTGGCGAACGAAAAATTACAGTATATTCCACAGATCCGAATGATATCGATGAATATGAAGCAAACTATGACAATAAAACAAGAAGTGATTCTATAAAGAGGGAAAGTTGCCAAAGAGATGGCCTAACCAGCGTTACAAGAACCCAGAAGTTTGGCGATGGAAATAAATTCGATGTGAGCAAATTTACAATAAACTAACTGAAACAGCCACTTTTACAGATTAGATTCTATTTAATTTATAGACTAGAGATGTTGAATCTCTCAATGACACAATAGAATTCGATGGTAGCACTAAAGTTCGACGTGGATCTGTTAAGGAGATGAGTGAAAAATTTATACGTAAAGAATCATCTTCATCAGTTACAGAAAAAACTAGTTCGTCGTCTTATCCAAAAGCTGGTTTGATTTTAAGAACCAAAACTAAAGAGTCTTCTCCAAGTAAATCTTCATTAATAATTGTTCTTCTAACTTTAATCCTTCTGTTAATCCTTTCTCTTAGCTACTTCACGTTATAGAGCTGGATCTTATGAAGACGAAGAATACGAAAGTGCTGGACATGAATATGAATCATCAACAACACGTCATGAATCAAAAACACGTTCAATTCATGAAAGTGAAAGTGAAACCGAATCAATTAAAATTTCAAAAGCAAAAAGTTCAACATCCACTCGTTCATTTCTGGATAGTTCAGGAAGCAAAGTGACTGGTGTTAACGATGTACTAGAACGGATGCGAAATGCTGACAACAGTAAGTTTTTTTACTTATTTATATAAAATGTTAAAAGTAAAGGTCCAAATGAAAGAAAATAACATAGGGTTAAACAAACAATTTTTTTCAGGGTAATCTAGATTTGATGGAATCTTTATGTTCATCTTATGTGATGTAACATGTATTGATTCTGTCTTTATATTTTTAGCTCCTTATTTTTTATCACTATTATTTCAGCTTAAATTCTTTTATCTTTTAAAGTTGTTCAAGATGGCGATTCAATGGAAGACCGTGAAGCTAGGGCTCTTTTAAATAAATTTCTTGGTGCCAGTGTACTTATGAGTGGCGTTGAATCAATGATGCCAGCTCAAGAAGTCGTTACAACAAGAGTTACTAAAATTAATACAGAACCAGTTAAGGAAGTGGTAAGTAAATTTTTATTTTCTTTTTAATTATGAACTATCTAGTGTGTTAATGGAAATTTGCTGAAAATTTAGAAAAGAATGTGAAAGAATTAGAACAACTCTTATGGAACTGTGCAACTTGTTTAAAAATCCCATACAAATTTCTTTATAAAAAATGTTTGAGACCTGAAATATGTTAGACTTACGTACACCGATGAACTTTATTTCGTTCTATACAACGTACGCTGAGAAAGTCAGTAAGAATTAATGATAATTAAAATATTAAAATCTTTATTTCAATGTCATAGCATTTATTCTCCAAATATTATTGACGTCCAAAATTCGGTCGCATCAATTTCTCGCCTTTTTATGCGTAACGAAAAATACTTACTTATTTTCTTATTTCTCATCAATTTTAAATATTTTTTCAGTTGGAAAAAAAAATTAATTCTAAAACAAAGATACAAAAAGTTTCTGAAGGACGTTTTTTCATTTTCAACTTTATTTGAAGTGTTTTATTTTTTTTTTATTATAGAAAATTATACCAAATGCAGATTAAATTTGCGATATCTGCTATATAAATAATAGCAATATTAAAATAAAACCGCAATTAAGTTTTATGACTCCCCCAATTAAAAAAAAACAGGTGTATATTTCGAACCCAAGTGTGAAGAAAATAAATAAGAAGAACACTAGAAGAAAACTTTTCTCTTATAAGGTAAAGACCGAAAATTTTTCAATAAAAACGCTTTGGTGTTTGAACGTGTATGTAAGAATTACAAATATAACTTTTTGAAAATAATTACGTATAGCTGCTGTTGCCAATAAAATATGGAAATTTTTTACTTGTACCATACACAATTATAAGATATCAAATTTGAAATTTTATCAATATCAATGCAAATTGATGATGCAGCACATCAATTCGTTTTGTTAAATACTACTGCGAATACCCAGCACATCAATTTGTTTTGCTAAATACTACTTCTGCCAAAGGTATGTAATTCATTATAGTGCATTATAAGAAAGCTTAAACACTTTAACAATATGAGAGCATAAAAATTATCAAATAAATAAAATTTTTATAAAAGAGAGAATTTGTTAAGTAAAAAATTATTGGAACCAAAGTAACATAAAAAAATCATCTAATTATTATCATGTCAAACAATACTACTGGCTTTAAATATTTCAATAGTTATTAAAATAGTTAATAAAATGCTTTCATCGGTTTAATCTATAAAATGCTAATCATCGGTTTCGAAACTGTAAAAATTTAAAGTATATTTTACAAGAGAATCTTGAACAAACCTACTGTAAACAATCATGAAGAATGAATTAAACAATTTAATGTCAAAATAAATTTGGAGATTGACGTAGGAACACCGTTTAACATTTTACGCCGCCCCTCTCCGGCGTAGCTTGCATTCTCCGGCTCCTCTCCGGCGTAGCTTGCATTCATAACACATTTTGCTCTTCGTTAAATTACATTTCATTTTTATTGTAAAAATATTATAAAAGCAGTTTCAATTTTATAATCATTTTTAAAAAAATTAGTTTTGTTTTTTTGCCAAAAAAAATTCAAAATTTAATTTTTAGTTTTGCATGACTTTCAGTTAAAATATAAATAATTTTCTTTTAAAATTTGAATGATATTTTTAAAATTGATAAAAATATGAAAATTTTATATGAAAATTAAACAAAACACAATATATGTACATATGTATGTATGTACTTATATGTATAAATAATAACAATAATGAAGAAATAAATCAAAATTCAACAGAAAAAGTTCATCAGACTTGCTGTCGTTTTGGGGTTTTGCTTTTAAAATCATTTCATATGCCACTTTATTATTTTTTTTCTTTTAGTTTTCTTTGTTCTACTTCTAAAATAAAAATTTATTGAATTATAAAAAATATAAAATTATATATGTACTTTAATTGTACACACGCTCGTACGAAAATTTTAATTTTAAAATTAAATATTTATTTTAACATTGTATTTCAATTTAATAATTTTCTTAAAAATCAATCAATATTCACAGAAGTTCTGACTCTTCGTATAATTCTATTAGAAAATTTAATAATAAAAAAATAATTCGGATGAAAAAATTTCGAGTTTATTTAAGATTTTTGTTAAATTAACTTTTAAAATAAAATTTGCGTACTCGAATATAATATGCTGTATTGACCGCATTGGCCTCAACGTCATTCAAATTTCTATGAAATTCTGATTGGATTTGTAGTTGTTTGCTTAAATTTAAACATAAGCTTAAATAAACTTTACAATACTTTGGTTTTTATGTAAAAATAAGAGAACTTAATGTCAATTAAGTTAATAATCGATCAATCGCAAAAATTCTTTAATTAAGAAAGTTTTTTTTGAATACGTTAGCAAGAATTTTTATTTGATAATGACATTCAATCAAAATAAAATTGAATATTCAATGTATTTCGATTAAAATAATAAACCTGATTAAAAATCGGATATTCGATTTGAAATATTTTTACTTTTCTTATCTCTTTCTATTTATCGAAAAATTCGAATAGCATGTACATACATACATATATAATTTTAATTTTCATTCTAACATACATCGTATATGTACTTTATCATCTCTACATTCTTCTAAAAAAAATGGCAATGGACGCAATTCAGCAGTTGTTTACTTTTAGCGGTTTGAAAGAGAATGCTTAAAAAACGATTTTTTTTTTAGTTCAATTAAAAATTAATTTAGAAATTGAATTTTTCCATGTCACGGCACTTTGACTCAAATAAATTCTATACTAAGAGGAGAAATGAAAAATGTGTCAAGGACGATATTTTTTAATCATGTTTCACTCGTTTTGCCTTTCTTTTTGGATTTCGTTCGCAAAATATAGTTTTTGTCTTAAGTAGCTCGTATTGCGACATTAAACTTAAAAATTTCGAAATAATTAGAAAATTTTTATAGAAATTTGAAAATATTGCTGTTATTATAAAAAGATAATTTTATTTTGCTAAAATTTGTCTGTCCTATATGTATATCAAACTTCTAATTTATAATGCAAGGAAAACATTGCCAGCTGAGATTCAAACAGAATTTTATCAAAACTATATTGTGTTGAGGTTATTTTCGTGATCATTTGCAAACAACATATAATGAAAAGCATTTTAAAAAAATTGTATATTGTACCCATAATATAATGATATTCTCAGTTATGTTTTAAAAGTTGGGAATAAAAACTGGGCTTTACATCAAGAAAGGGTACGAGTATTAGTGCACCGAATTGAAGCTTAAATTAGGCGGATTAATTTGAATTATAAAATATTTAATTATGGGAATAACTAATGGAAATTCCTTCATACAACTGCAGAACAAGATGGATGACGTAATCAAAGGAGCGAGTCACGACAGAAAAATTAAAAAAATTTTCTACTCGAACTGGGCTCAAACCAGTGACCTACCTTTTTGTAGGCGGACATTTTATTTCTTTTTTTTTCGGAAAACTTCTTTATTCCTCTGTGGCTCAGTTGTTAGAGCGTCCGAAATGAATAATAAAGATAAACAACTACACGTTGTATTGGTAATTAGTATAATTTAATTTACTATTTATTTATAAATGAACATTATATTTTTGTTAATTTTTTAAAAAATCGTAGATTTCCTTAAAATTTTATGTATCAGTTCTTTGGGACGATGGAACTATTAAAAAAACCTTTCAGTAAAGTTAGAGTAGTCATTTGGGAATGGGCAGATTTCATATTTTTTGGTACACACATAGTAATGTACATGGAATACATAGAATTATATTAAATTTAGGGTTATTTATTTTAAAGCAACCCTTTCAATTAATAACTATTTCATTTGAGAACTAATGCTATATCTTATAATGTATAGATTACTATAGAATTATAGACGCAATTCTAAAAAGGAAAAATAACACTAAAAATCGTTTCTATGGAAAAGCGTGAAAAGTAGAAAATTAAAAAAAAATTTTTTCATAATACAAGTGAATTTTTATTCACAATTCACTCCGTAAAATAAACAAAAGTGTCAATTGAAAAATTTTCGGGTTATTTTAAGATTTTTATTTTTTTTTTCACTTTTTACTTGTTCTTATAACTTTATTAGAATTTATTATGTAGATTACGAAATTTAATTGCCATTATTTAGCAAATAATTTGTTTTTGAAAATATTTTATTAGGTTTTTTAGCTCTTTAATCTTCTTAGAGTTTTCTTTTGTTTGGTTAAATAAATTTTGCGTTTTTAAATAAATTTTCATTTGACAGGCGTGTAAGATTTTTGATTTGTTTAAATTTTAAATGATTGATATTGAGGGGACTAAACATTTTACTAAAAATTAAATATTAAAATGGATATTTCCTTTCTTACAATCCAAATTAAATAATTTTTTTTTTACATAATAAATGTTTTCAATGATGAAAATGATGTTACAAATGGGGGCAAAAGTTCTTTTAGATTTCAGTAAAAACACTTAAGTAATCTTATTTGATTCAACATTAAGCAACATAAGACTTGAGTTTTTTAAGGCACCGATATAAAATTTGAACAAACATTTTCTTTATTATCAATTAGCTATAAAAAATTTGAGAACAGCAATGACATGTAAATAAGCAACTTCAACTTTCAAGTAAAAAACTGTTCTTTTTTTAAGTATAAGTTCACATATAAGTTGTAGGACATGATACAAACTTTTAAAAAAATTAACACATTATGTCAGTGTCAACTTATTAAAGAAATATGTTTTGTATTCAAAATAAAACACTTCTAATTTACAATATAACCAACGCACTCACATGATCACGGATAGGGGGGAGTACACATGATACTTGGCATAAGAATAAGATCAATTCTACCCACAAATTCTCTTCATGATTCCTCTTTCTTTTCAATAAAAACATGTTTATTACAAAAATTTTTGAACTTATAATAGACAAGCCGGGAAATATAAAAGGGGAAATTAAATCTTGTTTCGCATTTACGCATATGACCAAAATTTAGTATTTAATGGCAATG